GAAAAATATAAAGATTGAAGCGCGATCACATTTTCCAAATCATCAATACAGTATGATGACGTCAAACAATATGGAGTCTCTCAACGCATTATTCAAGAAGGATCGAGAGTTAACAATTCTCGCAATGATTGAGAACATTCGTAACAAGCGTGTTGCGTGCTAGCCCCGGTTCAAGAGGATAAACTCTTCAAGACTGCAGAGCTTGTGAGAAATTTGTATGTGGAACCACTGGATGAGTTACATTTTTACGTGAAATGTGCACGTAATATGGCATACATAGTGGACTTGACTGATAACACATGCACTTGTCGTCAATTTCACTTGGAGAGTTTCCCGTGTGAGCATGCAATCGCAATGGCTATGTATAAAGGCTTTGCAGCGAGGACATTATGCTCACTTTATTACACGGTTGATTATTGGAGAGCATTGTATGCTGAGACTATATTTCATCTGCCTAATGAAGTCAAGTGGAAAGTTCTCGACCATATTCTCCCACTTAATAATTTGTTTCCACCGCAAGTTGCACTGCGTGGTCTTAGACGTCCACGTACGTCTAGAATATCATTTACTAGAGAGTTTTCTCGACCGCGTAGGTGCGACAGGTGTGGAGCAACGTGTTTTACTAGTCAATTTTGTACAAACCAGATTCCCCTAAATGACAATTAGACCAATGTGTAATGGTATCGCTGTGAAACGAAGAACTAAATTGTACAAAATCATAGTTGAGGGACTTAGAGCACAAATATTTGATAAATGAATAAGCAATTAAATATACAATATTTACATATTGCGTAGTCCTGGACTAATGTTTACATGGGTTTACAATATTTAAGAGTATCTGATTAATGATTAAACAATTAAATATATATTGTTTACATGAGTTTTACAATATTTACAATTATTTCATAAATAAATGTACAATGTTAACGAATCACACTCGAATTCGTACAAATGACACACTAATTTATTTATCCAAATTTGTATCAACGATTGGTTGATTCCATCAACCTAATGTCATATACTCAAAAATTCAATGTATGTTATTGCAAACATGCCGCAATCACCCCTGCAATTGAATAATAACGTGTTAGTTCGGTACCGTATAGCTAAAAACTAAGTTTTCAAGTTTAAAAAAAATTATAAATATTAACGATCTCGACAGTCTCGCCTTTGTTGTGTCCCGCACGATGGCTGGTCTGTCCTTCACAATCACACCGGATCAGGCAGCTATCAAGGAAACGATCTGAAAGCGACTCCAAGATATGCTCAAGCTGGCCTTGCATCAGATAGGAACGGTCAGAGTCGTACACATAAATAGTGGAATCGACGAAGACAATCTCCACGACAATGCAGTGATGATTCACGATCACTAGAATGTATATACGTACAACCATCACATGGCTTTTCCCTGATACTCGGCCACATCCCTGCGACCCACTCTGCCATATATTAGGGCAGCACGTACTCATTAGCCATAAGTTGAAGCGACTGATGCTCAATGGTAACGACACGTACGAACTCAGTGCTTAATATGAGTCGGCCAAGAACGTCGAATGATCTAAGATATTTTCGAGCTCGATCACGCAATAAGTTCATGGCCAAGTCGATGTGCTACATCAGCAAACATCAATAAAAAAATAGAAGGGGTTTTTTTATTTCATAAACAAAAAAATCATGTAATAACATGACTATTCACTTACATCGTCGGCGAATTAAATCCCCGAAGTGGTGATGTCGTAAAACTACTTATAGGTCTCCGAGATCGTCCTCCCCTACCGTGCGGCTATCTTTGAAAAAAGAAAAAACAAAAATGTTAAAAGAAGTATAGATGAGTTAGCGTGGCGTACTTCACTGAAATTATAAAATACTTACTCGAGCATAATTCTTCTTCACTCCTCTCGAACGCTTTCCATTTGGCATGATCCATCTCCCAGATGAGATTGGGGTACATCTCGTCAACGAACGTCCTCCTCTTCACCTCAGTCGTGAAGGGAGATACGACTTACTATGACGGCAATCTCGGTCTCTTGCCGACCACCTGCTCCAACACATCAATAGCACACCTCTTATCCTTTGTCACAACTAGCGTCCTCTCCGCCTCCATCATCGGGGTACCACCTACGCCTCAACCACCCCCTCCTCCGTCATCGGGGACACCCCCTCTGTCCCCACCACCTCATCCACCAACTCCGCCTCTGAAACCTCCACAACTTGCAAATGGAAAATGTCGATGGCGGTCTTCTTGTGACAGCCCAAGCTTCAACCTATCTAACATCCGGTCGCACTCTCTGATCGTGTCCATCAACTTGGGTAGAAGCACCGTCCTCTATCCCTGAAAGTACGTCTTGTACAGCCTGTTGCTTCTCTCAGTGGCTACCCATCGCCTGTAATCTTCAGTCCAGTGATCAGGGCAAACTCGAACATTGAGAAACTAACGACCTTGTCCCCAAAGTCTAAGTGAAGGGCATCATCGTCGACTGGCCTAAGGAGAAAACATAGCAGTGCATCGATGATTTGTCCGGAGTACTGCACATCTCGCAACTGGTACAGGGGTCACAGAAGGACTGTCGCAGCATATCTCCATGCTGATCATCGAGCAGCTCTAACACATAAGTAAAATTCTCAAAGCTACTATTCCAAGTAGCTTTTCCCGCCATCCGTCGCAACTCTGCATCTAAATTATACTACATCCTGCAAAAATTCAAATGTTAAAATATTGAATAAGAGATAATAAAATAACGCATAATCTCTAACTAAATTGTAACCACTATACGCAAGATATCGAGGATAATAAAAAAATAAGTGATTTCATAAAGAAAAATAAATTCAATACAAATTTAAAAAATAGTTAATTAAATTAAATACAAATAATTAATTAAAAAATAATATTTCATTTTAGTAATTATCAATTTCAAATTATTTATTTAATTATATATACAAATAATTTAAACAAAAAGAAATTATTAAAATTAAATAAAGAATATAAATATTATTTAATTAAATTTGAAAAAATTAAAAATTTGTTTAAAATGAATATTTAATTAAAAAAATTTTAATTAAAAAATTAAAAGGAAAAAAAAAGAATTCTCTAATTCGTTAAAAAAGAATATTTCATTTTAGTAATTATCAATTTCAAATTTGGTTAATTTCACAAATGGTCACTGAAGTTACAGCAAAATTACAAAATAGTCATTGAAGTTCGAAACTTGCATAAACGGTCACTCAACTTTCGATTACTTTCAAAAATGGTCACTGAACAAAATTAAGGGACTTCTTTGTTCTAATTGAAACCTAAATTCACAAAACATTGCCCGTTCAAAATTGGGGGGACTGAAGTGCAATTTTCTTTGGATAAAACACCAAACCAAACCCTATCCCTTTCATTCGAACTTCAAATCGGCGATTTTCTAAAATGCCCAGACGCACCACACTTCCAACCAGCGAGAAGAAAATCCAGAAACACCGATAGAAGGTCAGCCTTGACACTCCCAAACCGTAGGTAAGCTTCCAATCAACCTTAATCATCGAAAGCCCACCTCAAGAAGACCCTAAACATGCCAACAATTCATCCCAAACAACTTCCCAACAGATCGAAGTTTCCCTTGAAGAACAATCTGTCGCGCAATTCGCAACAGTGCACCATTCAACTGCAATTTCCAATGTCGTTCCAGCGAATCAGGATGGCACACCACCTGGGCTAGGTGCGCCCTCATCTGGGGCACCTAGCCTAGTATTGGATCTTCACCAATTTGGCCAAATGAATTTGAATCTAAAGTCTAGGATGGTGCGAACTTGCGAACACATAATCGGATTTCTGCCAATTTTGATGCGACCCAGGCCATCCAAGGGGACAGACCACCTAGGCTAGCCTTCCCTCAGCCTTGTGCGCCTAGCCAAGTAATAGGTCTCCACCAATTGCATCCAAACCCTGTCCAATTGATGGTTGCCATTAGCGATCTGTGCAAAAAATTGGATTTTCAAAATTTTGATGATCCTACACTGCTCCAAATGATTAATTCGATGGGGAGAACTTCAATTGATGATGCAATTGCCATGGGTCGACAGCCAAGTGCTCCAATTAGTGCTCAAATTGCTGAAATCAATTGTTCACAAATGTTTGAACGTGAAATTGCCTTTAATTCTTCAATTGGTACTGAAGTTGAGGTTATGACACCAAATTTAACTTGTACAAATGCTATTGGAGGGCCTACGATCACTGGTAATTTACATTGTTATAGCGAATGTTGAAGTCTGGGGAAACACATGTACTTTTTGGTGAAATGTGGAATATTGTGAGTTGTTGTATGCTATGAAGTTGTAATGTAAATTGCTATGGTGAAATTGTTGTATGTTTTGGTGAAATTGGTGTTTTATAAAACTGGAATATGAACTCTAGTGTTTTTAGAATAAATTCTAAGGAAAAATTGCTAAATTCTAAGGAGAAATAAGCAAAACATGTTATTTATTATGAATTTAAAAAAATTAAGCAAAACAGGAAACAAAAAAAAAAAAAAAGCAAAACAGACGTCAATTTGGTGTTTTATAAAAAAGGGAATTGCACTTCAGGTCCTCCAATTTTGAAAGGGTTGTGTTTTGTTAATTTAGGTTTTAATTAGAACAAAAAAGTCCAAAAACTTATCTCAGTGACCATTTTTTAAAGTGCTTGAAAGTTGAGTGACCGTTAATTCAAGTTTCGAACTTCAGTAACCATTTTGTTATTTTGCTGTAATTTTAGTGATCATTTGTGAAATTAACCATATTATTAATTATTCGGTTACACGAAAGGAGAGATGTTGTATTTCTCCTTTATTGCGTCGTTCATTCGTGACTACTTGAATTAATATAATATTTAGTTGTTTAGAAAAATAAAAAAATAAAATTTATTAAAACTTTCATATCCAAAATGTATTACCACTTATAAGAAGTAAAATAAATTCAATTATTCCTAGATAATTATTTTTCAAATTAGGTCCCGCCACACCCTTGTCCGTGTCTACTCTATGAGCTTACATTTGCAGCCTCTGCGTACGAAAGCTAAACTTTTGTCATCTCCTCTGCAACAAATTCAAGCCTTCACCGCCATCAAATGGAATATTCAGCTCAGAGAGCTCTCGAAACCTGGCCAATACAAACAGGCCATCACACTCTACCGTCAAATGCTCCGCTCCGGCGCCACACCCAACGCCTTCACATTCCCCTTTATTCTCAAGTCCTCCGCCTCCCTCTCACTCCCAGTTTCCGGCACACAGATCCATTGCCACGTAATTAAGTCTGGTTGTCAATCAGAACCTTTTGTACAAACTGCATTGATAACTATGTATTGCAAGTGCTGGTCGCCTGATATTGCTTACAAGTTGTTCGATGAAAGTCCCAAATCGTGGGAGTTAACTGTTTGTTACAATGCTTTGATATCTGGGTACGTTCAAGATTCACAGTTCTCAAATGGGTTGCTTTTGTTTCGTGAAATGAGGTCGAGGGGAGTGGCATTTAATGCGGTGACAGTTTTGGGGTTGGTTCCAGGGTGTACTGTTCCAACGTATTTGGATTTGGGGGTGTCATTGCATTGCTTGAGTGTAAAGTTCGGTTTGAACAGTGATTTGGCTGTTGCGAATTGCTTTCTGACAATGTACCTGCGGTGTGGGTCGTTTGAATTGGCCAGGAAGTTGTTTGATGAAATTCCTATGAAGGGGTTGATTACTTGGAATGCGATGATTTCTGGGTATGCACAAAACGGGCTTGGGACGGAGGTTTTGGATCTTTACCGTGATATGGAATTGTCAGGAATGCAACCGGATGCAGTGACATTTGTCGGGGTCTTATCGTCCTGCGCTAATCTTGGTGCGCAGAAAGTAGGGATTGATGTAGAAGAGAAGATCAAACGTTATGGACTTGGATTTAATCAGTTTCTGAAGAATGCTTTGATCAATCTGTATGCGAGATGTGGTAACTTAACAAGAGCACAGGCTATTTTTGATGAGATGCCGGAGAAAAATCTGGTGTCGTGGACAGCAATTATAAGTGGATATGGGATGCATGGGCAAGGAGAGATTGCTGTGGAGCTCTTTGATGAGATGATAAGGGCGGGTATTCAACCGGATAGGACACTGTTCGTTAGCGTTCTGTCAGCATGTAGTCATGCTGGGTTGACAAAGAAGGGTATTGATTATTTTGATTCAATGGAGAAGGATTACGGTTTGAAGCCTGGTTCGGAGCATTATTCTTGTGTCGTGGATCTTTTAGGCCGGGCAGGACGACTGCAGGAAGCTCATAAACTGATCGAATCAATGCCAATGGATCCTGATGGTCCTGTATGGGGAGCCCTTTTGGGTGCTTGCAAAATCCATAAAAATGTCAAGTTAGCAGAGCTAGCTTTCGCCAAGGTTGTCAAGCTTGAACCCACTAACATAGGTTATTACGTGCTGTTATCTAATATATACACAGGGGCAGGCGATTTAGATGGCGTGATGAAGATTCGGGTGATGATGAGGGAACGGAGGTTGAAAAAGGATCCGGGTTATAGTTATGTCGAATACAAAGGCATGACTCATCTTTTTGTGGCTGGGGATAGGAAACACCCACAAATAAAGAACATATACACGATGTTGGCTGAGTTAGAAGAGCTAGCAAAAGAAGACAGTGGACTAAAGGAAGAGAAAAGAGATCAACCAATTGCAAGTAGCACGGGAGTGCACAGCGAAAGGCTGGCAATTGCATTTGCACTTCTAAACACTGATGAAGATCTTGGGAAGGATATTCTTGTGATAAAGAACCTACGGATATGTGGAGATTGTCATGTGTTTATAAAGTTGGTCAGCAAGATTTTAGATCGCAAGTTTGTAGTTAGAGATGCAACCCGTTTTCACCATTTTAAAGGTGGGGAATGTTCGTGTAAGGATTACTGGTAGAAATACAACTAGTCACGACCTAGCATGAGCTTAAAATGCGTCTCCAGCAATCAGTTTTATTACAGGATCAAAATACGACTAGTATATAGCAAGTCTCTCTTTTGGGAGCAGATAATGCAGCAAAATTGAGCAATGGATCTTAGAAGAATTCCACTTTAAAGCATGACTATTTCAGTTTCCGTGCTGACATTTGAATCGTCTCCTTCCTCTTTCAATTGAAACACTCAACGCAGATAGCTCTGGTGGCCTCCGCTTCTGCCTCTATCAGGCGGTATGTTCGATTGTCAATTTTTATCCAAGCATACGTTGAATACACTGAAACTATAGCCAATTGCTTGGCTTGAGGATGTTAATCTAGTGCAATTATGCCCAGGAACCAAATTTCATATAGTCATTCAGTCGTTCTCTAGAAGTAGAAAACTGACCTGAGGTTGACGAATTGAAGATTCATTAACACTTCGGTAGACTGGAGAACCCAAATCATGAAAATCAAGAAACCCCAGATAAGGTAATGGGTCTCTTTGCAAAATGCAAGAAGTTTTAGAACGATATCAATGTGGTACGTTCACATGTGATTGATATCGAAATTTTCTGTGAACATAACTTTTCAACAGCCGCTTTTGTGAAAAATAGATCAATATGAAACTGGGTGATTGAAATTTATCAAAGTGGAATGTTTCTGTTCTCACAACTAGGCCAATCTGCTTAAGATGTTGACTGCATCTTAAGCTCTGGAAATGGTTAGTATGATGATCTCGAGAGTAAGCTTGTAAAGAGAGCAGATTTCCAGCTGCATTAGCGGGAGTAGAACATTAAAAAGTAGGATAATACACCGAGAGGGATCGAGTGGGAATCCGAACGGTAAGCAATGAGGTCAAGATTCAAGACCGTGAAGCTTTACGAGAAGAGATAGAGCAAATCAAGCCGCTATAAAGCCGGTGATCGATAGGGCCAAGAGCTGAAAGCCGCTTGAAGGAGTTGATTAGATAAGGGTCAAGATGCTGTCGGGCTGCCGCAGCTGACTAAGTGCCCCCTGAAACTGCGCAAAATGATCACCTATTACACCAACGAGTTGGAACTTCCAACATCGTATTGTTTTAAATAGAGATGCTTACTCTGCAACTAAAACGTGGGTGAACTATCTATTAGTTCTCAACCGCAGATGAACAAAATAAACACACAGTATCTAAGAAAAATTTTCTTGGTTTTTTTTCCTCAGCCGATTCATGTCATGTCTCATATTTGAATCTAAAACCTCAATATTTCCAGCCAAGGCATTTTTTTTACCTTGCATGCAATTCCAAATTGGAATTGAAGATAATTAATCTAGATCTTCACCTTATGAAGTTCAATCGGCATTTGTAATGCAATATACTATAGAAACCATCGCTTGGAATGAAGTGACCAAATGAACATAAACAAGAGTGACTTGGGTTCCTCCTAGTGAGATAGTATAGTGAGCGACAAATTTCAAATGATTCAATAAAGTTCATAGTTTGATTCAAAATCATGGAGGAAAGATCCTTAATATACTTTCACAAGATTAATTCGTGTTCTAGCAGCGGGTTTCCATCTTCACTACATTAGGTACGAAGTTCTACGTGTTATACCTCCAAGGAGACATACTCACCTACACATACTTATTGCTTAACTGCTTACAACTTTTTTAAAAAAAAAAAAAGAGTGAGGATATGTTTTTCTCATTCCTGGAGTCGTTTAACATAATACCATGCAACTACATGAATAGTAATATACACCACCATTAATTAAAGAAAACAAACGTACAGAATAAACTCCAGTGCAGCAACATTAAATAGATCAGATATTTAGCGAAATATGATAGCATAAAAGCCTCCAAGTTCTACATGATAAGGCATGTCTACAGGTTCTTACACCGTCTTTAAAAATAAGTAGACAAAAGTAATCTACACCAAGACAGTACAAACAGCTATATTGCCAAAACAGTTACTGCTGACAGTCAACCATACAACTGTAAACAGCAGATCCAGCAGATTTTAAACCAACATAAAAGTCATAAATATTTGCTAAATGACATTACCGATTTCTGTATCTTTTAAAGAAAGGTTGATAGATCTTCCGGGGCGTCAATCCATATGCTCTCGTATGGATCTTGTTCTCCCCAATCATAGCACTGATTTCGGGGATGATATCTACCACTGTCAAGAGAGTAAGATACACAGCGTTTGCCATAATATCGAACTTTAGAGAAATAAACATTGTTTCTCATCATTCCGTTCAGATCCATCCTTGCTTGGGATGACAAAAAACTTGCAAACAGTGTTGAGCCTTCTAAAGTTTCCATCTCTGTCCAGACTTTATTTGTTTGGTCTAGCTTATATACCACTGGGATTAAAGCAGAACAAGTGTATATAACAAAAATATCCCCGTTATGCTCGGCCATAAATTTTCCTTTCCACCAATTTTTAACGAAAAAACTCTCAGGGCATCTGGGTGGATGAACAGAAAGAACATCCCAAGTACTTTCATTAGGGTTATAAACCCCCAACCAACCAGTAAGACTCAAACAATAAAATAGACCATTGCAGAAAACCAGTTTGTTCCAAATGCTGCTGACAAATGGCAGACGGTTTGGGTAATTAACAGTAGTCCATTCATTTGCTCCAGGATGACAAGTGCTAATGGCAACAAGAGTTGGGCTCACATGCTTTACCGTAAAGAGAATACAGCTAGGAGATGTTGGAGCGGCAGAAAAAGCGACAATTTGGTATCCAAATTCTCGTCTAGGTAATTTGATCTTTTCTTGTGTATAAGGACAATAGAAGAACATGCACTGAGTTCCGGGCTTATACAGCAGCAACCAGCCATCCTTAGCGTAACAAAGCCTAGAGCCACGTAGCTTTGGTAATTCGAGCCAATAAGTTTTGCGTTGAGAAGGGTCATAGAATTCATACAAGTCACCAACTTTTGGGAAAAACATAAGCCAGGGAGGTTTATTGACCTTTCTGACAGAAGTAGCAACAGAGTGCCATAGTCTACAAACAGCAGAAGCACGGATATTATCTCTAAATGTTAACTGAGAAATAATCAGTTCCAAAATCTCTGTTGGAAGCTCAGAATGTGTCCCTTGCTCATTTGGCTGTCCAGTTGAAGCTCTTGTATCGTCTTTGATTGTTTCAGCTAATCTACATTCATGATATCCAGGTAAACTCCAAGCCAAATGAAAATAAAAACAAAAATAGAGACATTGACAATGTAAATTAAACAAAAACTCCAATAATATCGACCTCATCCGATGGATATGTTTTCAAAAAATATAATTCTCATTAAAGACAATCATGGGTAAAACCAGAATTGAAATCACCCACAAAAAATATGAGTTTGCACTTGGGTTATATTGAATTTGAAGGATCGTAATGACCCGAGCCTCATGTCCAAGCCATTCTATCATACATACTATCCTCTTTGGAAGAGCTCGAACGAATCTTACCCTTCACAACTTTCCGTCTCATCCCCTAAGATTCGAACCCAAGATCGTGAGAGATTTAAGTTGAATTCTAATACCATTGGACAACTTAACCCAATTGGTACCAAAAGCTGTACAGAGGCTTTTACAATGCACATTTTTGAAAGGTTAGGAGGCTATCTGCTACGATTTAAAGATTTAGGAGCTATCTGCACTGTTTTGAAAGGTTTGAGACCTACTCTACAAATTTCCACAAAAACCTTTTGGAACGTAAAAGGAATTCATGAAAAAGTTTCATTGTTTTGATTAACAAATGGTTTAAATTCATCAAGCACGACCACACAAAATTCAACATCGAAAATGGTGTCATATGAAATTGATTAAAATCGGACTTTCATTCTACTATAGATTTAGCTGGGGATCCGAAGTCCAAAATTGTTGGAAAAATATTCTTCAAAGCTTGCCAAGTTAAAAAGCATCAAGTGTAAGGGGAAACATAATCAAGGGACCAATGTGATCAAACTTTCCTTTCGTGCATACAGTCCGTCCAAATTGAATTCGACGCCAAAGATGCCAAAAGATCTTCAGAATTTGAAAAAGGCAATGAATTTGGTGGAATAATTACATTGGGCTGCCGAAACTTTGGAGCAATTTTAGGTCAAGCTTTTACCATTTGTTCATCATAAATTGATGTGCTCTGTTTTCTTCTTGGGTACGTGACTAAGGGTGAGATAAAAAATTACGAGCTTAACACCTTAGTTTTTCTTGTTCTCTTTGTAGTTTGTATAAAGAGTAGAATTGTTGGGTGTGGTGAAGCTTAGTAATATTTTTCCTCCAATACTTTGAGAGTTCAGGGAGCTAGAAATTCTATATGATTGTAAGAATTTTTCATAGATTAGAAATTTGTGCCTTTGATAGTCCATAAATTTTGCATTGTTTTCTTCATATTTTTTATTTTTCTGTCATGTTATATTTTCTCTGTACAAAGATCCCGTGGACAAAACAGGGAATTTGTCTCAATTCCCAACAAAAATTACATGTACAGTCTAATAAGGTTTTAAAAATTTGATTCGACGTGCATCCATCAAAAGCCCTCAATTCAAATGCATAGATTTCCCTTTCACCATTTTAACTAATTAATTTTCGTCTTTTCAATTACAGTGTGATCACATTTTAGAGCAGACAAAAAACTACAGTGGAATTAATGAATTTTACCCCCAAAACAATTCAACATAACAGTCTAAGACACCAACATGAAGCCTCATAAATACTCCAATTTACTCTAAACAAAGATTTATCCAATATCATCCTCTTTAGGCACTCAAATTAATTCATATACAAAATGAAATGGTACTTTTGAGGGGAAAAATATTAATTTCTTTTAATTTCTTTTCCAGTTCAAATTCAATCATTTGTTATTCTGTAGAACATGGTAGATACCAAAAAAAAACTCAAGATTATGAAATAAGAATTTCAGTATTTAAGGAAAATTAACAGCATAAGAAAAATTCAGTCAAAAATTACTGAATTGAATTATTGGAGAAAAAAATATAAAAACACTTACAATTTAAATTTCTTTCTTTTCCTTCCGGCCATAATCAAGAGAACCCAGATGATATTTTAGGGGGAAAGCTAGTCCAACGTTCACTGCGTATGTGCGTCGGTGAATGGATGTGTGTACCAGAACCGTTTTAAGGGTTTGATGAGTGAATTCTATGGGGAAAGATCTTTTTCCTCTCAAAAAAGGCACACTGTGTCTGATGGATAATGGTTTTTTACTTTTTTTCTTTTTAAATAATTGTAGAAACGTGCCATTAAATTATTCTATGCGAAAAAGTTATTGCTCGAAGTCAAGGGGTGATACTAACTTTGAAAACTTATATTTTCAACCTATAATTCTTGAAATGAAGTATTCATTAACCCTATAATATGCCCTTTATAAAATGTGACCGCGATCTTCACGTTAAGATAGATTATCACTTGTGTGATAATGCAGTTGATTGGATAAAGTTAAAATGTATTTTGTGTTCCTATATTCATGTAAAAAATATAGGAAACAAATTGGACACCTTTCATTTTCTTACCCTATAAAATTTGTGATACATTGGATCTGTTTTTTTTTTTTTTTAACTTTCAATGAAATGATGTCAAGTGTGATCTGTAAAGGAATTCTATAAATAAATTCTGTACAAGTAACATGATTCTATGAAGAATGTCCATAAATAGCAACTTGACTCAATAAAGAAAGATTGGATACACAACTCGTACTTTTTTCAGGTTTTATATCTTTGTGCACTTTTCTTCATTCATACTAAGTCTTACACCAGATGGATATCAGGATGAGATTTCCGACCCAGTTTAAGGTTACTACTCATTTGGAATATCGACACCGATCATCTTTGAAGCTTCAGCATCAAATGCAATACAATTGTCAAGAATTTCATTCGAGTTGCTCATACTCATATCAACTTGTCTAATCTTGTAAGGAATGAGTGGTGCACTTTGTCCATATTTGGAAGTAGTTTATAATCGTTTTAATTTATAAATAAATAAAAATTAGTGGTTCATAAGTGAGTAATACTCGTGATTTCACAAAAAAATACGGATAAAAATTGTTTTAATTGATTATAAACAGCTTATAAATATAGGCCAAACATGGATATTCAGTCTTTAACATTAATATTTTTTGAATAATGATTTTTATACATCATGGTTTACTGACTAATTTACAGAATGATGATAATTGACTCTCTCTCTCTCTCCCTTCATGTCTCAATTCTGTAAATTATGATGTGCAAATAACATTACTCATATTTTTGTATGCTTCCAAATTCATACCTCAACTGAGGATAGTTCGGGCAAGAGACTAAGCTAGGGATCCAGACTTGAAATGATCACAAATTGCGCTCCTAAATACCTAAAACAAAGGTTAAGAAGTGAGAAAGTATGCAAAAAGCTTTAAGCACAGAGTAAAGCAATCATAAGTGGTGTTGATAAGTGTGTTTTTACATACTTATTTTACTGTCAAAACATGAGCAATTGTTGATTAAAATGTTCGAATATAGCTTAATTCTATGCAATTTATGTTTTGTAGGACAAAGTGATGAATGTAGCGAAATTGAGGTGAACCAAGCGAAAAAGGACCAAACTGGAAGAAAGTGAAAGTTCAGGGACTAAGGTGCAAATACTACAAACTTGTTTCCAACCTTGTGATGAAGATTCAAGAGTTTTTTAGTGGTTCATAAGTGAGTAATACTTGTGATTTCACAAAAAAATATGGATAAAAATTGTTTTAATTGATTATAAACAGCTTATAAATATTGGCCAAACATGGATATTCAGTCTTTAACATTAATATTTTTTGAATAATGATATTTATACATCATGGTTTACTGACTAATTTACAGAATGATGATAATTGACTCTCTCTCTCTCCCTTCATGTCACAATTCTGTAAATTATGATGTGCAAATAACATTACTCATATTTTTGTATGCTTCCAAATTCATACCTCAACTGAGGATAGTTCGGGCAAGAGACTAAGCTAGGGATCCAGACTTGAAATGATTACGAATTGCGCTCCTAAATACCTAAAACAAAGGTTAAGAAGTGAGAAAGTATGCAAAAAGCTTTAAGCACAGAGTAAAGCAATCATAAGTGGTGTTTATTATGATTACGTGGTCTACGTCGATTGAAGAATCTAGAGAGTCATGTCTTTTGAAGACTTTGAGGCTAGGCCAGTTTCCCAACTGGAGAAGGATTTATCTTCTATGAATGAAGATGAGTTCAAGTAGAAGTATATCAGGAGTGGGAGATCACTACTGGCCGAAAACACCTCAATTGAGTAGGTGGTCAAGTACTGATCATAAGAGGTGGAAGGATGCAGTCCTCAAAATAAGAAAGTTGGTTGGAGAGTTCCTTACGACACCCCAAAGCTATACTACAACTCCGCTTAACACTTTGGGCGTAATCAGGTGTTTATTACGATTACGTGGTCCAGGTCGATCGAAGAATCTAGGAAGTCATGTCTTTTGAAGACTTTGAGGCTAGGCCAGTTTCCCAACTGGAGAAGGATTTATCTTCTATGAATGAAGATAAGTTCAAGTAGAAGTATATCAGGAGTGGGAGATCACTACTGGCCGAAAACACCTCAATTGAGTAGGTGGTCAAGTACTGATCATAAGAGGTGGAAGGATGCAGTCCTCAAAATAAGAAAGTTGGTTGGAGAGTTCCCCCTTGGTCACCTCATGGGTCGAAAACAAACTATGATGAGGAGAATAGAATACCAACCTTTGGATATAAAGTTAGGCGTTGACCTCTAAATAATGATCAACAAATTCATCTCACTTAATAGGGGGTTCCCCTCTTAACTTATTATCTTGCTGCTCAATAAGGAGTGAGAGGATAAATGACTGTATGAGAGAAAACTATTCAAATTCAACATCTTTCTTCATTCCATACATGCCACTTTATAAATTTCTATTTAGGCTTTAGGGGCAAATGGGTCTTTTTTAGCTGGTGAAATGTGGCAGCCATTGATTGACTGACTTCTAATTGATTCATTTTTTGTCCTTGTTTCATTCACCAGCTTAATCATTACGTTTTTGTGAAAATATATTGGCTCGCATTATGCATTTAAGGTATTTCATAAGGTTTCTCACTTATAAGTGCTTTTAACTTATTTTGAGTTCTCATATACTTTTGGCTCTTTTAAAGTGCTCCTCAAAATAAGAAAGTCTGGCAGAGAGTTCATCTTTGGTCACCTTATAGGTCAAGAACAGACTATGATGAGGACAATGGAACAAGAACCTCAGGATACAAGGTAGGGTGAAAGTATCTAGATTACGTTAAGAAAATTCCTTGTCTTAAAAGGTGAATGTGATCTTCAGGCTCAACATCCTTAGGTTGGATATAGGTAAAAATTTATGGCATGATCATTTATGTTATTTAATACATATTTTGTCGGAAAGATAAAATAATCTTTATCAAGCAAGAGAAAAAAAGAATTAATTTATTTTTAACCATGAAAATATTGATAATATTACTATATACGCACTAAAGATTTATAGAAAGCTTTTGGCACTTGAGGCAATATTGACTTGTACCACTAACTTACCTAATTTTCACATTTATTTTTTTCAGAACTACTCAACATGTTCAATGTTAAGTATTAAACCAAAACGAAATAAGTGCTTGTTTGGTAAAATTATTTTTATTTTCAATTTTACCTACAATTTTACTCGCTTTTAAGCACACGTTCCATGAGATCTGTCTATTTTTTATCGACTTTATTTGCTAAAAACCTATGTCAAACAGGCACTAAATAATTAATATGGATATGCTTATAGTCAATCTCAACTAATACAATTACGTAAAAGATAAGGAGATACATCGAGTTGACCCGCCGCTTTGACATGTGGTTAGTTTTAATAAGATTAATTTCGTTTTTGACTTATAAAAATGTATTTAATTCATTTTTATCATTGACAAAAAAAAGACTATTTTTATAACTTTATGTCCTTTTTAAGATTTTATCTTTTTGAATTAGTGTGATCAAGTTGTTTGGTTCAACTAAATTTTTTATTAAAATTTAAGTTAAATTAAACAATTAAGTTAATTATACATTTCATGATCTGACACGTTCTCAATCATACATTCAATCAATTTTTATCAAAAATCTAATCCCTGTTTGTTAGAAATTAAAATCTACGACAACTAATTAAAACCACATTTTATGATATTCACAACTTTTTAACCATATTTTTCATCAATTTTTATCAAAATCTACTAAAAATTTAATTTTAATTTCCACGGAAGAAAATAAAATTTTGATTTTTTTCGAGCTTGGAGGGTATTTGGTGTAGATTAAAATCAGATTTTAAGTGGATTGTGATAGAAGTTTTTGAAATGTGTGGTTGAAAAGATGTAGGACCCATAAAAGATGTGGTTGATATTGATTGTTTGATTTTGATTTAGATTTAGATAACAATCTGGTCCAAACAGATCCTTAATATTGTCTGGCTAAGTCTACTAAACTTCAATTATTTAAAGAAAATAATTGTCTATTAATTAACTATAAGAGGGTTGAATAAAATTAGGTACGTCGTTTTATTAATTTCTTTTACTTTTTCGTGGTTGACCAGAAAGTGAGTGTATGAGGTGGAATTTCGTTGGTACAAGATGGTATTTCTAGAAGCCTTGAATTAATCGGACTCCAAAGTTAGGCGTTGTTCTAGAAGGCGGCTAAGCTAAAAAAGCATGAACACAAAAAATTATACATGAATTAAACAGCAAGTCATTTTCTTTCTTTCATTCATTTTTTTTTTAATTTTTAATTTTTTTTTGTAGGCCTCAAACCAATGAATCGAATAGTTGTAATTCTTTATATTCAAATAACTTTTCTCATCATAATATTTAATTTATTACCTAAGATCAAGAATTAATACTCCTTTCAAGTATCTTGATTAAAACCTTAAATGATTTGTTTTAATAAAAATAGTATTATCAAATTGTTGAATAACTCTTTAAGGGTTTGTCTGAGTCCCAGTTATGGTAAAATAGATTTTGTAATAGTGATTTCATGAATAATGCGTGAT